ACGCGAAAGGACGCCTTGGGGGGGGGGACATCTAAGCTCCCTCCGCGTCCTCTCTCTCCCCCCCCATCTTTAAAAAAATAATTTAGTCTTCTAGCCATTCTCCTCTGATGCGTCGGGAGGAAAAAAGGGAGGCAGGCAGAAGACCAAACTTCTGATTCATCAGCGCTTAAAAATAGGTTTGGGTTGTTCTGGTGTGTTTAGTGTGTGTGTGTTGTGGTTTTTTTGTTTTTCAAGCCGGCCCTCGGGCAGGGAAGCGGTCTACCGCCTTTAGGGGGAGGCAGGGGAGTCCGAGGAAGAATTACAGCCCAGCTGCCACATCCCCCGTTCCTCTATCTGCCTCCGCAGGCCCACTCCCCTGATTCATCTGCCCTTCACACAGCAAAACAAGGGAGGCACTAGAAGCGCCCGCTGCTTTTTTTTTTTCCGCTTTGGGTGAAACTGTTTTTCTCTTTTCTTTTCTCTCTTTTTTTGGCTGTCTCCTTCCAGTAGGGACGATCATGGAAGCCCGGAGGGTTTGTGCGAGAGGGCTGGCGATTTGTCTCTGGCTGCTGTTTTCTCACGGGTCCGGTAAGTAAATGCCTTTCTTGTTTTGCGTCTCCTGACTTGCTTGCTTGGGGGTTTTTTTGTTTTGTTTTGTTTTGTTTTGGGGGGGGGCGACCCGGGACATCTCCTCCTGCAAAGCGTGCGCCCACCCGGTTTTGGCTTTGATCTGCATCCCCTTTCTGGAGCCTCCGATCTCAGGCTTACAAAACCACTTCCCTCCAAGATAAAAAGCCCTCCTCCTCCCTACTTCAGAAGAGACGTGGATTTTGGATGTGGTCTTCCTTGCCGCAGAAGAAACGCCAGGGTGTGTTGATGTGGCGCCGGTTGGCTTGAGGAGTCAACACAGGATGGACTTTTCGGTGGAGAGTCTGGAAGATGGAGCTTTCTCCCAAGAGAGAGAGAGAAACTGGGTTGCCTGGGGTTCCGAGGTGCCTGCAGGAGAGTGTCGCAGAAATGGTCCCTTGAGTGGGAAGGATTTTGAACCCCATCAAAAAAGGTGTCAGGTCTGGGATGGTGGTGGATGTGATCTTGGTTGAGAGCCCATCAGTCCGCCTGGCATTTACAGACAGAGATGCCCTTTATATGCCCAATAAGCAGAGAAGGCAGTGGAGAGGAACGGGAGGGAAAGAGAAGAGACGCATAATGTTCCTTACCCAAATTATTGAGAAAGGCGGCGCTGCCGGTGGTGATTAGGGTAATAAGAGTTGATGTGGCTTTTTAAAGAGCAGAAAACATTATCATCAGTGGTTCACGTCATCTTTATGACAATCCGGTAGGGTGGACCGTTATGGCCCCAATGTAACTGTTACATATGGATTGGTTATGGCGATGGAGTGCCAAGCTTTTGAAGTTTTTAACCGCTCCTGGGCTACCTAGTTGAGAAACCGATGGAGAATTGAGGAACCAGATCCTGTGTTTGGGGCAGACTCCAAAGTGATGGGTTCTTCATCTGCCACCCAAGACTTTGGCTAAAATGTCCTGGAGGCTTCTCTCTCCTTCCAGAGATCTTCTGGGGAGGGGGGGTCCACCAAAGTCTGAGCTTGAGGGTGTGGAAGAGGCGGTGGACAACTTTTCTAGGTCATGAGTCAGCATCTGCTCTGTACATTCACGTAGGGTGACTACCTTTACATTGAGGCTGTTTCTTGATGTTGGCTTGAAAGGCAGAATGGGCTGTGAATCCCCTTGCTTTCCCGCATAAACCGCCCCCCCCCCCAGTTCTTTTCTTCTCCAGCCTATTCCTTCAAGATCCCATTTTGCAGATGACTTGGCTTTTGGCCACGGTTGCTGAGCGAGATTTTAGCTGTCCGGTCTTCGCAGGTGAAACCTGGTTCTCTTGCCCGCCACTGGGTGTCCTTTTCAGCTTTATTTACAAATAGACTTTTAAGTGCTGGCTCCCATTAATGATAGCTTGCTGGGTTTTTTGTGTGTATCTTGCATAAGGCCCCGGTTTTTTGTGTGTATGTGTGTTTTGTTAAAGGTTCTGTATCTTGCATAAGGCCCCGGTCGCAGCTAGCTTTTATGGCAATTCCAAAGAGACGGTTCATTTGTGTGCACGCCGAAAGGTCTCCCTCTCTACGTGTCTGAACCTCAGCGCTCTGTCTTTTCCAATGGGAACAGGAGCATTTTACAGCTGTGCCTGACACTTCTAAATTGTATGACAGGTTAACTGGAGAGGTGGCTCCGGTCCAGCTGGCCCTCTGCTCAGACAATGGCCCCCAAGGCGAACGGATATCCTATCCAGGCTTATTCATGTCCTTGTCCAACCTTTTTTTCTTGGAAAGTTTTCAAAAAGGAGAAGCCGGCTCCCTCCTGACAGCTTTCTGATAGGTGCCCGTCCAGCCGTTGCTAATTGTCTTCGGAGTCAGGTTGTTCAGTGGGCTCCGTCCTTCTGATTCGCTTAAACCTCTGTGGGAGAAAAAAGAGTCTCCCTGGAGTGTGAGGGGGCGGCCCGGGTGTGCAACCGTTCTGGCAGAAAAATGTTTGTATTAAATGGGTCTTTTTCCTGCAGTGATGTGTGTATGCTTCGCAGAGAAGCCCACTCCCTTCTGGAAGTTTTTTTAACTAGGTCAGAATTTCCCAAACGGGTGTAACGGGTTGATTTGAGAGGCCCGTGGCCTCGTTGGTGACATCCAAGTGTACCTCCTGCAGCGAGGGTGAGGCTGAGAGCCAAGGCATAAATGGATGCTTGTAGAGTACACAACCTGTAACACTGTCTGTTCAAACTGCACTTCACCACTGAAGCAATGATCATCATGTATAAGAATGGTACGATGCCCTTTTTATACTGATGTTCTGCTTTGAATCAGGTGATCTTTAAGGATTCTTTTCGGCTCTATATTTTTTCCTTAACTTCATTTCTGTGACACCTTTATCCCAACAAAGGGACCCAATGGCTGCGATTCTGCCCTTTCAAATGCCTGCAGAGCATCCTGTTGCCATCTTCACAACAACCCGATCCGGGGGGATCCACGCGGCCCATCAAAAATGTGCCTCTGAGGCTGACATCAAGGGCCACTGTCTCATATTGGAGTCTCCTGCTCATTATTTTACCCCTAGCTCTTCATTGCTTGTTCCTCCCCCCCAAAAACCCTTCTCTGTCTCCCCCCCGCACCAGCAGCAGCAACTTCTTGCCAGTGTCCTCCTACATGGCTATGAACTGTCAACACAATCTCTTTATTCCCATCTTTCTGTAGGCTAAACACATCCGCATGCTTCTCCTCCAATGTTTTGATTTATCTTTCGCTCCTTTACTGTGCTTCTCTAGGACCTGATTCACTGCCATACCCATCTTTGGGAAAGCACTGTGCATGAGATGTGGTGATGGTTCCCCCTGCTCCTCCTCATAGCCCATTCCTCATTCAATGTAGAGTAGCTTAATCAGTGAGCAAAAGGCCGGTGGGAAGGACTTGGCTCCGTTTTAAGCCCCTCTCCAAGCCATGCGCCATAGTGGACCCAAAACACTTGAGCAGATAGGATCTAGATTCCCCACCCCCTTCCTAGGTTCCAGTCTATACAAGTTCCACCAGGTGACACATCCTGGTCGTAGAAAACAGCAGCCCTGTTTTCTCAGGCCTTAAGGGTGGCCTGGGATATGATATTGTCCATTTTCTGCCGTCTTACGACATTTCTGGGGGAGGGAGGGGTAACTGGATTGGAGTCTCGTGGCTCAGTGGTAAAACTGCAGTACTGCAGTGAAGACTCTGTTCAGGACCTGAGTTCAATCCCAGGGTTGGGTAGCCAGCTTGAGGTTTACTCCAACTTCCATCCTTCTAAAGCTGGTAATCGTGTGGGCGGGGGCAGGCTGTGTGTAGCCTATGGCATGAAATTGGGAACCAGCCAGAGAGTGCTTTGAGCCCAATGGGGTGGCATAGGAGCAGCAAATTTGCTTTGCTTTGGTCTGTTGCAGGAAAGACAAGGAGAAGTCTTGAGACACCTTAAAAGCTAACAAGTTTGGTCTGGCATGAATTTTCATGCGTTCCTCTGGAAAAGAGGGCTACGAGATCAGTGCTTTTGCTAGATAAAGGTTGGTAGTCTTTAAGGCGAAACCAAAATTGCTGTCTTGCTCTTTAAGGCACTTTATGGAACTGCTTTATGTGTCCTGTGCTATCAAGTCAGAACCGATTTACAAAGACCCTAATTAAGGCTCACAAGGTGAATGGGATTATTTAAGGAGTGGTTTTAGCAGTGGCATCCACACACCCCCATGAGTTTCCATGGCTGAGCAGGGATTCAAACCCAGGTCTTCAGAGTTATAGTTCCTCTCTCCATCCGGTACAACACACTGAGTTAAAAGGTACTGGTCATTTTAAGGTGGCTTTATCACCAGGTATGAGTTTAACCGAGCTGAATCTTCTCTGGCACCCTTAAGCTGAAAAGCATTTTTTGAAGATGACTTCGGCAGGAAAAACTTTATGGGCAGAGGTGAAGTGAAGTGACCTTGGAGATACCTCTTGGCTTGAGATTGGGTGGAACTAAAGCCAACATTAAGCAGAAGTGGGACTAAGGGACTTTGGTTCCCCAGATGTTCTTGGGCTCAAACTCCCAGAAGCCTTCACCACTGGCTGTGCTGGCCAGGATTTCTGGGAGTTGCAGTCCAAGAACATCTGGATTACTCAAGGTTGGGAACCACTGGCTTCCATGTTGGAGGTGGTACGTCTATGACTGGACAATTCGCCTATCCCTAAGCGAAGGCTTCTGTCAGATTTGCAGCAGGGTTGGGCAAAGCAGATCTGAGACTGTGCCCCTTCCTGTGTCAGTAGATCTTGCATAGATTTAAGTGACTGTCACTGCAAGGCTCTGAGTGGGACGATCCACCAGTGCTTTTGTGCACTTCTGGAGCTTCCTGTCAGAGCTGCTTTCCCATGCATGCCGAGCCGGTCTGGCTTTTGACATGCTTGTTTATGCAACATTTGGCTGAATGCATGACAGGCAGGGTGTTGATTTGAGAGAGGAGTTGGGTGGTACAGTTGGCAGGTCTCTAGATAGCCATGAAGTCTTGGGGAAACGCTGTGTTCTCCAGGTCTCCAAGTGAGGGCGAGAAGGGGACCACCTGGCCATTCATCCTGGAGAAGATCTGAGGTGGCTTTCAAGCCTGGGCACAAATCTCTCTGAGCCACCATGATGGTCTTCCTCTCTCTTGTTTCTGGGATGCTGGGTTTCCCCTCATTATGAGCCCAGTTGCATTGATTCCTTTAAAATTGATACTCTGGTGGTCTGGAAGTGGGACTTCATCCCAACCCTTACCTCCCCCTCTGGTGTGACTTCATTAGAATTTTAACAAGCAACATTAGAAAGTAAAATTCAACAGAGCCTGGCTCACAGCACTGAAAAATACAACCTGCAAAAAGGTCAAGGAATTCGACCCAGCCACAAGGACCGGTGATCACTGCACACAAAAGACTAGCTACCAACACCCATCAATCACAGTGACAGACCATCTCCCCCATAACAACAGTACACCCATATCAAAAAAACACCCTGATCACCATAATCACCCAATCTGCTGAAAAGGACAAAAAGCTGAT